ATCAAAATTAACAATTACATGTGTCGTAATCTGCTGAGTTACAATTTTTCTTAGGTGTCACGTTCTCATCGTGGGCATTATCCTTTATATAATAAGATAAGATTACGTGATCAAATCGTAAAAATAATTCAAATATTGTAGAATTCAATAAAAAAAATTTGCATGTGAATAATCTCATAAAAACCTATATAATATTTTATTGAATCTCACATATAAATCATTGATTGATAAATGTATATCATTAATGTCATTTATTTCTTTTTTATAGAGATCTATACTCGTCAAACTTAATTTTTATAGAGATTATTATTTTTAACCTCATTTTCATTTTACACAAAATTTTTAGCATTGAAAAGTACCAATACCGTCGTCATAGGTAGAAATTTTTTTTTTTTTGTGATATTCTATAACTATGGTAAAAAAATAAATATGTTCATAAATTTTTTTGTTTCTTTCGTATGGTTGTGCATATATTAAATTTTTAAATTGAGATTTCCATATCCCTTCTAATTTTTTGTTTTTCATTTTATATACTATTTTTTTTAATCATTCGTATTTTATTTTCTTAGTTGGAATTTTATTTTCTCTGCACTTTTTTTTTTGTTTTTTTAAAGGTTTATACTCTGTGTGTTTTCTTTTTAATTTATTTTTTAATTAGTTTGTACTAGTATATTTTTTTAGTTCAATTAGTTTGGACTATAAGAAATTTTCCATTTTTTTTAATTCTTTTGAATTATAAAAAAATTTATTTTTTACTATTTTCTTAGTTACTTGACAATTATTTTATTTGTTTTCTGTTTTTATTACATTTTCTTAAATTAATTTTATGTGTTAACACATGACATCATATGATAAATATCAACCACATGTCGCGATATGGTGCGTTATAATTTTGCTTATTTATCATGTTCATGTTAAGCGCATCCTCCTGTATATAATAAGAGATGTTAGAGTTTAGACATAAAAATTTCACTTTCAAAAGTATATGAAACCTATTCAATATCCCACACATTTTATACATTTTTGTGTAAGTTGCAATCAGTACTCTAAAGAATTTAAAAGAAATCCTTTAAAAAAAAAAAAAACCTCTAAGTCACCCATTAAATTAAAACTGAATACAAGAGTGGATATATCAAAATACATGAAATAAATACTTCCAAATCAATCCCAATTTGACCTGATCGCCGTTTTTAGCTATCATATTTTTGATGAAACTTTATAATACTTCTGAAGTTTATAATAGTCTTTGCTCATTTATTTTGTCTACACTCATTTTTTTTTGCTTGACTTGGTCTTAATCTAATTTGATAAGGAGGTTTTTATGTTTTTTTTTGTCAAAATATGATTTCGATTTCAATAACCCGGTTGTTTAAGCCGGTCAGCCGGTACAACAAATTATATTTTACTCGATTGTACTATAATAAGATATAAATTCACAAAAAAAATTATGAATGAAATAAATCACGTGCGGTTGTTCACCTTGCAAATAAATAAAAGAAATACAGAATCAGATAAGAGATTTGTTTGTCGAACGATTTCGTATAATATAGTTCCAACCTGCCCCATATAATCATGTCGTGAGCAATAATAGTGATTCTACGAGAAGCAAACAAAATGAATAATAGAGACTTCCGGTTTGGGTAACCAAGCATATATTGTAATCTGTACATTGTCGTTG